TTCTTATTTATGTTTAGCCACATGGCTTGGTACCTTTTCTCAGTTCTGCCTTCACATCTTGCTTCCTCTGTGCCTGGCTGGTGACTCCTAACTCAGCCTTCCTCTTCCCAGAATTCTCTTCTCTGCTTGTCCCACCTATACTTCTTACCTGGCTACTGGCCAATCAGTGTTTTATTTATTAATCAACCAGAGTGATATACACAGCTCTTCCTTCCTTCCTTCCTTCCTTCCTTCCTTCCTTCTTTCTTTCTTTCTTTCTTTTTTTTTTCTCTAAAGATGCTTTTAAAATAAGGTGAGAAAGGGCTCTGGGAAGTGATTCAGTTCTCATGCGTGTCCTGGTCTTTCTTAATTGTGTCATTTCTAGGGTGGTTCTGGTACTGTCATCTCCCGGGGAGGAAAGAGCATGAACAGACACCCAGGCCGGAGGTAGTTTATGGTATGAGCCTCTTTGCTGACTTCACTGAGTCCATTGCTCTTAAGCTCAATCAACCAGACTCTGTTGAGCCAGCCTCAGCCACACACTACACAGATGGAATCGAAACCCGAGGAAGCAGGACCGGGTGGAGGTGCCATCCCTAACTCCCACCATGTTTACCTGTCTCCTTCAGGGTGCCTGGAGGGTGGCAGATGGGCGCCACTCACTTACCTCACCAGATAGGAAGTGAGAGGGACAAAAACATGGTTTAGTGTGCAGCAGCTAAGTGGCGAGCGCTGTGCCCTCCACCTACTCACGTTGGCTGTGCTCTGCCACTCTGAGCTGCTCTGGCTTTTGTCTTGTTTACCGTCTTGGTCTTGTTTTCTTCTAGGATATCAGCTCAGTGCAAACTGAACGGAATGTCCCTGCATTTGGATACAACACTACGTGCAGGAATCCGAAATCCAAGTCAAGTCTAGGTCAGTCACCCTTTTCCAGATTTGTGAGTCTAGATTTTTCTGGAGTCTTGTTTTTCTATCTCTAAAATGATGACCTCTCCCCCAGACACCTTGGGTATGGTTATTTGTAGCAGACTCAATACTCTTGTACTTGAATAATATCTCTCTTTGTACTTGGACCAAACTATTCACAAAGGGGAGGCTTGTCTGTCTGTCCATCTGCTGAGTCCTCAGCTTAGCATAGGGCATATGGGTATCCTGCTGAGGCTCAATAAAAATCTGTAGAACCTGTTAATCCATGATGCATGCATCACCTCATGTGTATATTTTTTAAATGTGTATGGGTGTTTTGCCTGCATGTGTCTGTGCACAGCTCACATGCAGATGCCTGAGGAGGCCAGCAGAGGGCATCAGATCTCCTGGAACTGGAGTTAGGGGTGGTTTTGTGTCACTATATGGGTGCTGGGAACGGAACAGGGATTCTCTGGAAGAACAACTCTTAACCACCGAGTCGTCACTCAGGCCCCTACCTCATCTTATTGAGGAGACTGAATGCCAAATGATTCAGCCTCACTACAGACAAGTGAAAATATGTGTTTTTGACCCTCTCAACCAAGAAGTGGGGGTCCTCCCTTGACATAGAAGCCAGAGAACAGCCCATGCTGACTTGACAGCATTCTTGTGCCATAGCTGTATTATTGTTCTATTTTCCAAATGCCACTGTGTATCTATCCCTGCAGATCTCTGGGTAGTGTGTGTGTGTGTGTGTGTGTGTGTGTGTGTGTATTCTAATTGTAAAGGAGATTTTCAGCTGCCTTTTAAAGGTCTTCAGTGCTACTGTATTTCTTTGCAAAGGTTACATATCAAAGCCCCCTTCAGGATGAAGAATTCATTATTATCGGGCAGGCAAGATGGCGCAGCAGTTTGAGGTGTTTGCTGCCAAGTCTGAGGACCTGGGTTCAACCCCTGGAATCCACATGGTGGGTGGGGAAAACTGTCTCCCACACGAGCCTACAGACATGCATATGCATGCACATACATGCTAATTAAACATAAGGGAAACTTTTTTTTAAAAGTATGCATTATTTGTTTTGTAAGAGAACATCAAAAGTGTCTTGAGAAGTATGGTAATTTCAGATAATTTGTCCTTCTGGAAAATACTAAAGTGGTCCTTTCCCCCATAAATTAGTAGAATAGTTAGCTTTATCTCAGGGGTGATCTAGATGAGCAAGCGTTTACAGCCCAGTGGAACAGAGTATTGGGGTTTTTCTTCCTATTTGTTTTCAGTAGTTCTGCTCCTCCATCCTCTGTGTGCCTAGCTGATCTATGAAATGGGTATGTGGGCACTGTACCTTCCCACAGGACCATAACAGACGTCAGCGAGCTTCATTAGATGCTGTTTGTCTGATTAAAGAGAACAGGGGTGTGGAAAGGATCTTAATTATCTGTCTTCCCACATGCCAGGTGCCTCTTGTCCCGTGTGCACACTGAGATTGCATCAGCTGACTAGGCAAACAAGGAACAGTGGAAATGGAAGACTGAGAAAGAGCCCAAGAGGGGCTGCCGTGTGAGAGGGACTCACTGCTCCTGCTCCGTTCCTGGAGAGTGGAGCAGAGACACTTGTGGGCGGAAGCGAGGCCAACTCGGGTTCACATCTGTGCTGTGCTTCACAGCAGCTGCGGGTCTAATGACTTAAACGCTTCAGCCCCGTTTCCAAGATTAAAATAGGGATGATGACAGAAACTTCGGGAAAAGGAAGAGACATGCATGTAAATCACATGCCTCCTTGTACCACTGGGTAATTGGCAGGAGTGGCTGTTTCTGACTCTACAGTAGCGAGAAGGGAAGCTTAATGACAGGTACTGTGTGTGCAGGTGGCAGAGAGCAGCTAAATATGACTTTCTAGGCTGAAAGAAAGCAGGCTAATTGCGGGTTTTAAAGACTGAACTCTGCTTCAAAAAAAAAATTGCCTTCCTTACACACTGATGTTGCTTTATTTCCTTTTCTCCGGAAGCATCCTCCGGATGGACTTGCCCTCGCTCCAGCAGACACCACTGGAAAGGAAAGGAAAGTGACATGTAAATTGTGCTGTGCCGAGGCTCCCCCACCCCTAGGCACACCGTTTTATTGTCTTTTCTCACATCTCATGCACCATGAGCCCAGTCAGCAGCAGAGGAATGCCTCAGAAACACAGCAACCGTGCAAACACTTGAAGTCCCATGGATAGTTTCTCATCCCACTACCCAGCAGGCTTCTGGTCTCTGAAGTCAGAAGAATGCACACAGCTCTCAGGAGCAGGAAGTGGAGGTGTAGGAACCTTGTGTGAGGAGCCATACATTGTATGGTTACTTCTTTGGGGCAGCTTGTGGAGGGGGATAGCACAGAACCCCACTCCAGGTTAAAAAAAAATAAGACTCTTCCTAAGACTATGTATGGATAACCCAACACACAAGGAGAGGGTTAAAAAGTGAAGGAGAAAAAGAAAGAGTTGGCCATTAATCTTGCCAAGGTATAATTCCATGTGTTAGCAGGTAACTTCAGTTACGCTCTCTGTCCTCAGCCTTGTTCTCCACAGCTGTAAAATGGTGGCGAAACCTACTCCAACCCCTTATCAGCATGCTTAATTAGGATAGTGGTGTTGAAACATGTTACCTAGACTACCGATCAAATACCGTCTGTTCTGGCACATCTTCTGACGTCCAGTCATGTGCTGGAGCCGGCTCATGCCAGAGCTGCACTCAGCTGGGTGGGTCCCTTCCTCATTGAAGAACAGACATCATGCTGGTGCCTTCAAATCTGCAATAATGGGAAAATTCAAACCAGGAAAACTGGCAAATGAAACAAGTCAGCCTTTCCTCAGGAGTGTACTCTCCTTTCAGAGAAAATGAAATTTCATTTTAAAATATTTACAGTGTGTGCCCTTAACTGATAAGCCATCTCTCTGGCATCACAAATGCTTCTGAAAAAAAAATGATTAAGAGTAGCAATGATGAATGCTACAGAAGATCCCAGTGACATTCCCTCCTGAGAAGGACACTCAAGGCATTTCCCTGAGCACCCTGGGCAGGTAGACATCACAAGGCAAACATCTCAAAGTAGAAAATAAGGTCAGCATACTTACCTTCCAATCAAGCATGCTCAAGAAGCTGACAGACTGGAATCCTAGAATGCTAATGTTTGGGACACATCAGCCACAAAGATTCTATCCGGTCTCTGTCTTTCGGGGGCTTGGCGCTAAATGGGAGCGGGCTGTCAACCCAGGAGAACACCCTGGGAAGAGTACTGTGGGTATCGGTGTTATTAGTCACATATGGGTATTGAGTTCTCCAGCCTGTGTGCATGTGTACACGTGTGGGTGTGTACACGTGTGGGTGTGCATGTGTGTGGGTGCGTGCGTGTGGAGGTCAGAGGGCAGCCCTTGGGTATCAGCTCCGTCCTTCCACCATGTGTGTCCTGGGATCAACTCAGGCTCTCAGTCCTAACGGAAGGTGCCTTTGCCCACAGAGCTGTCTCACCAACCCGTTTGGGTATCGAGAACTTGAAATTTCGCTTTGTGCACATACTAGACTGTGAAAATGTAGTGCTAAGAAAATAGACAATCCACAGTTTGCCATGTTGATTATATGTTGAAATATTAATGTTGTGAGTACATCGTATTAAGTAAAATGTTCAAATCAATTTGAGAAGGTGGCGAAACCGTTGAGGAAGACACACCTAGATGTGAACCCCTGTTCTCCACATACATATAAGTTAATTAGTTAATTAAAATTAATTTCATTTAATTAATTAATTCCATTTTAAAATGGAATTAATGGATAATTTAAGATGGAATATGTAACTTCTGTTGGACATTTGCTTATCTTCTTTTGGAAAATATGTATTCAAATCTGTTGCCTATTCTTAAATTGGACTGCTTGCTTTTATTGTTGTATTTTTTTCTTTCACAAATAATATAGTCTTAACAGAAAAATGATTTGGAAAAGTTTTTCTCAGTGTGTGGGCTCCCTTTTTTTTTTTTCCTTTTGAGACAAAGTCTCCCATGGCCTAGGCTGGCCTCGAACTTGCTAGGTAATGAAGAATAATCTTGGACATCTGCGCTCTTTCCCCCACTTCCTGGGCTGAGATTATAGGCATGTGCCACCACACACGGCCTTACTTTCTTTTTAAAAGATTTATTTTTTATTTTTCTCTCTATGTGTATGTGTCTGTGTATGCTCCATGTGTGCAGGTCCCTTTGGAGGCCAGAAGAGGGCACTCTACTCCTTGGAGCTGGTCTTTTAGGTGGTTGTGAGCTGCCTGACATGAGTGCTGGGAACTGAACCTGGGTACTCTGGGAGAGGAACCAGTGCTCTTAACTGCTGGGCATTTCTCCAGCCCAGCCTTACCTCCTTAACATGAGGATCTCTCCAGCCCAGGCTTACCTCCTTAACACGAGCATCTCTCCAGCCCAGGCTTACCTCCTTAACACGAGCATCTCTCCAGCCCAGGCTTACCTCCTTAACACGAGCATCTCTCCAGCCCAGCCTTACCTCCTTAACATGAGGATCTCTCCAGCCCAGGCTTACCTCCTTAACATGAGCATCTCTCCAACCTCAGCCTTACTTCCTTAACACAAGCATCTCTCCAGCCTCAGCCTTACCTCCTTAACATGAGCATCTCTCCAGCCCAGACTTACCTCCTTAACACAAGCATCTCTCCAGCCTCAGCCTTACCTCCTTAACATGAACATCTCTCCAGCCTCAGTATTACTTCCTTAACAGCCCATTTTCCCAGATTGCTTTATACTCAGGTCTCTTGCCTTTCCACACAAATCTGAGAATCAGCTGACCTATATTCTATGAAGTATATAGTTGAAATACTGACAAAGGCTTCCTTGACTCTGTAAGTGAGACTGGTATTTAAAAGTATGAAGTCTTCCAATCCACGCCTAGTTCTGTAGCTCTTCCTTAATATCCTTCTGCCACACGTGGCAATTTCAGTGCACTTGGACTTGCTTGGTTAAATCTTTTCCCATATATTTTTGAAAACACTAGGGTATGGACTGGAGAGATGGCTCCGTGTTTTAGGACACTTGCTGCTCATAAGAGGACTTGGGTTCAGTTCTCAGCACATGCAGGTAACAACCATCTGAAAACTCCAGTTCCAGGGGATCCAAAGCCCCTTTTTTTTTTTTTGCCTCCATTGGCATTGCACAAACATGGTACACAGATGTGCATGCACCCGTACACATAAAATAAAAACTAAATAAATATTTTAAAAATTAACTAAATAGATATTTTTAAAAATTAAAAAACCCATTGTAAATGACATTGTCACACTGGAGTGATGGAGACTTTATCAGGACTGACTTTGTTCATTTTTCTGTGAAGCCATCTGCTCTGCTGGTGCCAACGTCTAATTCTCCACTACTTAGCTGTTACCCCCATGGGTTCAGATCCCTGCTCTGTGGTCTGATCCAAGTAAATCCAGGCTCTTCTGGCCCTGAGGTCCTGAGAGCGGTTCCTGCCCCTCACCAGCTGCAGCACTTGGGAGAGCAGGCCCTGCACCTCGCCTGCACAGCATAGCAGAGCTGACCCTGTTGGTGGTAAGGTAGACGGCTGGGGGTAAGGGGGTGGGGGAGCAGGTGAGCCAGCCTTGAGGACATGAGAGTCAGAGATCTGGCTCCACCCCTCACCTGCCATATGGTGTTGTGTGCAAAGGAGAAATTCTCCCTGCTCCCCTACCACATTCACTGCCTGTGGCAGTTGGGAGATCTGCCCTTGAGGCCATAAGAGTGAGAGAGCGGTCCCTGCTCCTCACCAGCTGCAACACTCGGAAGAGCAGTCCCTGCATCTTGACTGGGCAACACAATAGAGCTGCTGGTGGTGTAGGTGTGGGTGGGCTGACCCTGAATGCATGAAAGCAGGAGAACTGGGCCTGCCCCTTGTTCCTTGCTACATAGGGCAAATTCGCTGGGGCAACGCTGGAGAGCTCACCCTGGTGGTGAGGATGGAGGAAACCTGGCAGACTGACCAGCCCTACAACTACCCAGGCCCAGAACCAGGGCTATGAGTCGGCCCACCCCAACATCCACCCCATCTGTGATCTGCTGGAGCATATGAAGGGACCAGTCCTGCAGACCCAAAGCTGCAGGATCTCCATGACACAGGGCACAGGATATCCAAGAGGAGTCTCAGTGAGGGCCCAGCATTGATAGTGTAGCAGAAGCCAGAGGCCTCAAACCAGACCAATGACTCTCTGCAATGAACACTTGCAAATAAAGATATGTGGACTAAAGGGTTTACTGTGTGACTCACAGTGTCACAGTACAACTTCTAAGGCAAGACTGTTCTTTTTTTTTCTTTTTCCATTTCTCTCCTCTTAAATTTTATTTTATTTTACTTTGGGGAGGGGGGATTGCAAGGGCAGAGGGTGGATGCAAAGGGATGGGGAGACGAATGGAATCTAGATGCATGATGAGAAAGACATAAAGAATAAACAACGACAACAAAAATCCAGGCTCTTCACAAAGGTAGTTTTAGAGTCAAATCTTTGGGGTTTGTTTTGTTCTCTGGAGGGCTCTCCATAGCTGTCTCTTTCCCCAGTGCTTTTGGTAAACCAGATGGCAACTGGATTAACTTCTCCCTGCAATGCATCATCTAGCCTCTTCCTCCATGCTCTCCACCAAAGTCTTATTGTTTTTCAAAGTGACCTTAGACTTGAACTTCCCCTAAACTCTCTTTCAAATGAGACCAGTTCCTTTGGGAAGAGTGCTGCAGCCTCCACACTTTAGAGATGCCTGTCCATCTTTGTAGTGTATCTGAGCTTTAAGGGCAGAGTGGGACAACACTCACTTAACAAGCTGGATGGGGATGAGAACCTCTGACCTTCTCAGCTCACCTTTCCTGGCATGGAATCTCAGTCTCATGAGCAATCTGGATTCACAGTCATTTAATAATAATTATTATTTGAAGTGTGTCACATCAGGGTCAAATCTTAGCCCCTAAAAATGGGAGATGGATGAATAAAGATGCCCTGTACCTTTTAGCTATACCTGCTAAGAATTTAGCCTCAGCAACATGGGGACAGAGGGGAGATAAACATGAGTGGGCTTCCCTAGGTGGCAGGCCAGCCTGTTGCTTGGCTGGAGGCTGAGAGGGGAGGAAGCTTGTTTTCTCAGCCACACGCTGCGGCTGAAGCTCCATCGCTGAGATGTGGACAAAGAAGAGGCGTGATGGCGGCTCTGGCTGCTTTTTCTGAGACTTAGGAAGTTTCTTGAACAAATGTTTCTTCACTTACTGTATGTCCTGAGAACAATTTCTACAGACTCTAAATGATCATTGTTATGCAGTTTTTTAGGAATCATCTGTTTCCCTGGAGTGGGTTCTCAAGAGTTCCTGATGCTGCCATTCTGGAAGTGGAATTAGTTGTGAGTCTTAGAGACAAAAAGTCTAGAACCGTGAAGAAGGAGATGGACTCATTTCCAGAAGAGCATTTGGTCAGCAAGGAGACAAGAAGTTAGCCAGAGCACACGAGTCAGCAGACTAAAGTGAGACCTTTACAAATACATGAATATTAAGATATTGCCTTTGTTAATGGATCCCAATTCTGTAAGCACACAAGAAAACAGGGAAATCCAATAGTAAAATGGACAATAGGTCTAAACAGGCGATCACAGTAACAAATTCATAAGTACATGTTTAATGCTACTGAGTCCTTTCAAATGCCATGCTGAGGAGATGCCTCAGCAGTTCAAGAGCTTGCTGAGCAGCCAAGGGGGCTGGAGTTTGGAACCCTGGTACCCAGGGAAATGCCAGGTGGCTATGGCAGCCTGCCTATAATTCTAGTGTTGGAAGGTGGAGGCAGGGCATCTCCAGAACCAACTGGCTTGTGAGATTAGCCATGTTGGTAAGCTCCGGGTTCAATCTAGAGAGCCTGAATCAGTGAATAAGGTGGGGAGTCACAGAGAGAGACTCCTGATGTCAACCTCAGGCCTCTGCATGTATGTGCACACATGCATACACATGCAGCCACACACACGTGTGTCCGCACACTTGAAAACAAGCCTTCACATACAGTCACACAAAAAAGACCCCAAAATAAGTAAGTCAATTCATGAAGAGTGGTTTAACATCATTAAGCATTTTTTTTAAAAATAAAATTAAGGGCCAGTGAGATGGCTCTGTGGTTAAGACTGCTTGTTGCAGGGGGCTGGAGAGATGGCTCAGTGGTTAGGAGCACTGGCTGCTCTTCCAAGAGGTCCTGAGTTTAATTCCCAGCAACCACATGGTGGCTCATAACCATCTGTAATGAGATCTGGCACTCAGGTAGAACACTGTATACATAATAAATAAATAGATCTTAAAAAAAAAAAAAAAAAGACTGCTTGTTGCCAAGTCTGAAGGCCTGAGTTCAATCTCCAGGATTCAGATGGGGGAAGGAGAGAAGAAATAGTGAATAGTGTCCTCTGACCTCCATATACAAGGTGTGGTACACTCATGCCCACACAAATATACATGCACATATAAACAAATATATGCAAAGTAAGTATAAACATAATTTTTTTAAAAAAATGAGTAAAATGCAATTAAAGTGAGACCACACTTTCCTCTTACTATTAGCAAAAGTAGTATGTTATTGTCCTACATTGTATGTTGTCTGTTGCTGGGATAAAACATGGACCGAAACCAACCTGGGGATGAAAGGGTTGCAGGTCACACTCCATCACTGAGGGAAGTCAGGGCAGGCGCCTGGAGGTCAGAACTGAAGCAAAGACCATGGAGGAATGCTGCTTACGGGCTTGCTCCCAGGCTCACATTCAGCTACCTTCCTTATACCTCCCAGGACCACAGGGTAGCACTGCCTTCAGAGGCCTGGGTCCTCTTGCGTCAATCAACAATTGAAAAAAAACGCCACACAGACACGCCCACAGGCCAATCTGTTGGTGTTTCTCTCCACCAAGATCTCTTCCTCTCACATGACACAAGATTGTGTCAACTTTGTGAAAATCAGCACAGTTTACCAAATCCTAGTGAAAAACATGGAGAAACAGAAAACTTCATGAACTGTTGCTAATAATATAAGCTTTGAGGAGCAACTTGGTGGTATTAAGTGAAATTAGGTATATTTGGTGCATTACTAAGGAAATCACATCCTTGAGCCAATATCTTAGAACATCTTTCATAAACAAACTTTCGGAAGTAACTCACTATTAATGTGATCTCAAACCAACCTAAACACCCACAGGGAATGCATGATGATGCTAGTGTTTGTATGTCTACTCTGAAATATGGATGGGAATCAAAAAGACAGAACTGGTCCATATATACCAACAAGGACAGCTCCTAAACGTGATACGGATCATACGAAGTAAAAAGCAGAATGAAATGATAGCATATTAACATTTATCTAAAATGTGAACTGATGCTTTATGTCATTCATTGTTACACAGATTTATGAATGAAGTTGTGGTTGGCACACATCAGACTCACAGACACGGGTACGGGTGGTGGGAGAAGAGATGCACATGTGTG